TTACCTGAAAAAAGTAATCGGATTACAGTAACGCGTTACTGCCTCTCTGTTGGCCATTGCACTACATCTCACAAGCAGCTCTGTTTATAGATTTAAATATTTGTCCTATCTTATTATTTTATTCCCTTGTCCTTTATCTTTCTTACTTCTTCTTTATAATAAGGTGCTCAGCGGTATTTGGATTTTTCTCTGTGTTCTTTACGTGAAGCTGTAGAATGGCCCAAGTACTGTTATCTGTCTTATGCATTAAAGGATACTTAAACGACACTTTTCATTTTATTTATCTCAAATATTTCATGATCAGTCCACCTGAACGCTCTTTCCCCGCCATTTTGGAAGCTGTCGGAGCTTCCGACAATGTGAGGAGGAAGTGAGTGAAAAGAGAAAACGGAGCAATCGAGCGGAGCGGCCGAAGCGGGCGAGCCAGGGCTAAAAAACATCACTCAACTCGTCTTGACTACCCGGGCTAACTTTAGCTACATGTGCTGAGGTCGAGGGGGGAAACTGATCTCACCTGCAACCATGCCGACAGTTACTTTACCGCCGAAAGAGAACGCTCTCTTCAAGAGGATCCTGGTGAGTTGGTTTTTAAGGTGCTGCACAGCGACGGCAGCCGAGTTTGGAGCTCTGTTGGCGGCAGTCCGGCTCTTACCGGAGCTCTCCGGCTGGTAGCGCTTAGCCTGTTAGCAAAATGGCATCATTGAATGGGGTTAGCTCGGCTAGCCCGGCCCCTGATGTGCGCTGTCACTGCGGTACAAAGCCAAAATGGTTGTTCATGACTTTGATGTTATTCCGATATATGCTTCCAGTGTGGTTAAATTGTACTACAAACATTTGGATTTTGGATTAAATAGTCGGTATTTGTGGTTCATTTGCGACAGGCCTTAGCACTGGGAAAAGCACGTTAATGCTCCTTTCAGCGACAGCTAACCCGTTAGCCGTGTGTGCTGCTGAATTAGCTTGCACTTACTTAGCTTCTCACTCAGTTTTGTGAATGTTGTGGCATTTTAGTTCCTGGCTGCGTGCATAGCTGCTGTCTTCTTAGCCGGATTGTGTTTAGTTGGTCAGATGTGTGCTATCTGACAAAGTAACGTGCTTGCAGGCCACCTGGCGTTGCTTAATCGGCTAACTCTACCGAGCTAGATATCTTGGCATGTGAGGCACTAAACAAATGTCAGTAGCAATCTCTGAGTTGTGGGGGCCTGCAGGCTCCGTCATGATCAACCTTAGAGGCTAGCATAGGCCGACGTAGATGTGTATGATGTGTGAAAGCCACTGGAAGTCCGGGGAGTACCGGTGTGGCCGTGTCAGCAAATCTGTAGCCGCCCCAGGCCTGCTGAGCTACTGATCCATCCCTCCCTTTCTCCCGTGTTGCTGGGTTGTTCGTGTCCTATCTGCGGGCAGTTTTACGTGGGCCACACGTGTAGCTGAACAAGCGTGAGTTAAGGATTGTCACAGTATTTTTCAGGAAGTGCGGTTAACTTTCTGTGCGCTGCATGCCAAACTAGTCCCCCCCGCCACCATGCCTGGTGCTTGGCGGTGTGTACCACTAAACAGTGCAGCATGGGCATCTAGCAACGCACTTTCCAGGAACT